TACTGCACAGCAATAGGAAAATGTTTACTGTCAACAAAATTTAGTTATTTTTCAATGGGCTCCAACACTGTCATTCAAAAGGTACGAAGGCTATTCCCTCAGAGTAACAGACTGACAGAATTCTACAAATCTGCGACGAGCGTGTCTTAACACATAATCTCAGATACAAAAGTGAAGTTTTAGAGTATATTTTATTCTCATCTTCAGGTAGATATCCTTCCAGAATTTGCACTTGTGCGGGAGATCATAGGTCAATCAGCGATTCCATTATTGACCGGTTGTCAATTCTGATCGTTTTCTGGATCCAGTTCCCATCCTGCACTGATTGGACATGGCAGCTGATGAATTGATTAACAAGAGTGATTGGCCATCATTGATGATGTCATTTCCTGCTTCATAAAATGAGGGTCAGCTCCTGGAGTATAAATAACATCCCAAGGGTGTGACAGTTTATGGTGTAGGTTTTGTGCTGTTCCTAAATTTTTCATTTTGCTATTAAGGAAAACAAACTATTTTTCCCAAGATGAATTCCCAGGTTTGTCAAAACTATCACCAGGATTGTGAAGCTGCTGTCAACAAGCAGATTAATGTGGAGCTCACTGCCTCCTATCTCTATCAGTCTTTGGTGAGTGTTGTTTCTGTGGAGTTAAACATAAATCTGTTCTGTCGAAGTGAACTCTTTCCCTTGCTTCTAATTAAGTTGACAGTCTTGTAGACTGAGTTTTGTGGCTCCTACCTATCTCTCAATTCAGGATGAATGTGATGTTAATGTAACAATTGTCTGTGATTCTAATGTACTCTAAATTGGGTCCCAGTTGGTCTTTAGTGATATATGGGAGGTTGAAGTGATTTTGGAGTTATTTGCCAGTTTGCTGATAGTGTTGTGAATGGTGGTAACTGTCACTTCCTCTGACTAGTGAAACTTGATAGAACTGCTTTAGAAATGAATTGGGACAAACATTGTGGGAATAGAAGCACCCATTGGCTAGTCACTCTATCTTTTTTTTTCTCTCTTTCAAGTATCCTTGTTATATCTTTAATTTTTTGGTGGTCCCAAATAAACATGCTAATGTTGATTTTATTGTAACAGGAAATTGTGATTATCAATCAGCTCTGCTTAACCTGACCAAGCCTATTTGAGGTGAGGCTGTAAATGGTATCTGATTAAGTAGACCTCCCCACCCCCTACCATTGAGGCCGCCTTGGCTTTTTGTACTCACTTGTGAGGTGGATGTGGCCCATCTGTGAAGGGTTGGAGCTCCTCCTACCCACAACCCTGCCATGGGGCTGCTAGAATGTGCTGAGGTTACTGACCCAGTGACAGTGAAGAAATGGAGTTTATTCCTGTTACGACTATCCTGACTTTAAACAAACTGCCACCTTTTTTATCCAGGTGGTGGTGTACCTGTAACCTTCCAAGGGGCAGAATGTGTTTGGAAGGTGTGTTGAAGTAACCTTGGTGAGTGCTGCAGCGTACCTTGTAGATAATGGACACTGAAAGGAGGTGGTGAATGCAGTCCCCATGAATTGGGCTGCTCTGTCCTAGATGGAGTCTGCTTCTTGAAGTGTTGTAGCTCCAGTTCTCCAGATGGAGAATATTCATCACTCTCTGGGCTTGTGCCTGTTAGAAGGAAGCTGTCTCATGACATGAGGATGGAGTCCCTGTGAGCTCCATTTGGGAGGTGGGAGCAGCTTTCATTGAGCCAGTTGTTGGGTTTTAATCACTGACCAGTGTCCCAACACAACTTGCAAGCATGTGCCAATAATAAAATCCCTACTCTTCTTCTTCTTGTAACTACCCACTTGAGCCACAAAGATAAACTGTGC